CCAAAGACATTCGAAATAATGTTGTCGATTCTTTCTTACGCGATTACTAATCTTCGCTTATTCCAAATCAGTCTAGCAGCTACGAAAAAATACCAGCGTTGCTAAACCATTCGCACAGTTCCTGCGCATCAAAGTCCTAAGCTTCTAGGAAAATTCCATTCACATTTGAAAGGCTCAAAACAGACAAAAAGTATTGAAGTGGCGGAAGAAAAGGCACAGGAATTGGTGCTTACCTCTCTTGATCATTAGATTCCTCTTTTGCTACAAGACATGGTGATGTTGATTCGTTTTTCGTATTTTGAGCCATAACAATCATTGATTTTTCCAGAAAATCTACCGCGGCAGGGTCCTTAACCGATTTTTTACCCTAAACGAGTTCCGTCGCGCAATGCACAGAACTCGTAATTTGCGAAAGCAAAAGTTCTGTATGTATAAAATATTCTCACCTTTTTAATTATTATATCGTCCTTGCCAATCTGCTCATTCTGCTCCTTTTTGTGATGTTTTAATATGTGCTTAGTGAGGTTTCCTGGAAGTTTGGGAGGTACGTAAAAGTAAATGAAAATCCATGCACGAAATAGACAAACTACACATAATGGAAAGACATGGACATAACGTACAATGATGAAAAAAGTTCACCTTTCAGTCTGCTGCTCTTCCCACAATACTTGCAAACGTATGGCTTCAACGCTGTATGTACAGAACGATGTTCTGCGAGATTTGATCGAAACCGAAACGCTTTCCCACATATTTCGCAAATGAACGACTGAAATGGAGAAAAAATTGGTAAAAAGGACGAGATCGTGAACTTCTCAAGAAAGATCCTCACACCGTACTCGAAAGCCATGTTTTCTTGCGCCCTAGGAGGAGACTACGATTCTGTTTTGCAATACAATGTCTCCCAGCATTTGCCCTCTCGACGCGCGTCAGGATCAATTTTACATGCGTGGCGACGCGAATTGACAGATGGCCGGTTCGTTTGCAATTATTGGAGATACGGTGGTAGTGCTATGGCTAACTAACTAACTAACCTGAAACACCTGGTTTTCAACCAGGCGTTCACAAATGTACCAACATTGGAGATGTAACATTCAAGATGGGGAACGCTTAATGATGCTGAGTTCATAACATGGAAGTCACTATTCCAGTCGAAGAAGTATCTATCCTACTGCATTGGCAATTTCTGTAGATGCACCTTTTTCGCACATAAAATGCTTACAGCACGAAATTTGCTCGCAAAAGTGCAACTGATTAAGGAAGGTCATGCCACGGAACCAATCACGTTAACGATTGTATACTCTTCAGTAAACTGTGCGTATCTTCAATCTTTGAGAAGGAAATAAGGTTTTCGATGAGTGTGAGAATGGGCAGAATCTGCCGTTCCAGTTCAAAACACGATCACTGCGCGGAATATTGCAAAAATAACACATGAAAAGCAACAGCAGCAATATTTAGTCATGAGATAGATGGTGTAGGTCCCGCTCGGTAGTCATATACATATGTACACATCAAAAAGATCCGTATCTTCAATACACTATTTTAATGCCACAATGTGGCATTCCGCATTCATGAAATGTCTTTAGAATAAAGATAAGAGAACTGAAGAAAATTTTTTAAATGAAAAAAAATGATGTAAAGATCACATCATACAGGTAAAATATGAGATAGAAAGAATGTTTTGAACAAAACTAACGGAAGAAAAGATGAAGATGGAAGGAAGGAATAAATTATCACGTTCAGAAGATTGAGTTTATCCAGAGATAAGAATTTGATATGGGCCGAAAATGGGGAAACCGAATATAGATTGCATCTAAGTATTAATTACTAGTTTGAACTAAGCATGCTTAAAACCGTTCACGCGATAAAATTGTGGAGTCCTAAGTGAATACGATGACATCTGTTCCGTGACAGCTGGCTTGCCACAGGCTGTACTGTCGGCTAAAGGTCGGGACGCATTGTAAACAATAACAGCGGTTCAGGGAGCCCAGTAGCAATCAGGGAAGAGGCGAATATGCAGTGCAGTGTTCGACTTTTTCTACTATACTGTCAGGTACCGATATGAGAGGTTTAGCTGCTTTGAATATGCTTTGATATACACTAGCAGTGACGAAGACACATTGTAACTGCGGCTAACGATGCACGGGACTCGTCAGTTCGCAAGCTCTGTACCTACTGCGTTAGTTAAGGAGTGCAAAATAGATAAGGGGTGCAATGAGTTAAGGAAATCAGGCAATGGGAGTTGTTGGGCGATGGCTCACCTTATCTGAATGAAACATTTGCTGGTGCTGCTGCAACAGTCGAACATTTGCGAACGTTTTCGGGCACTGTGGACAGGGAGAAGGCTCATCAACAGCCATAGACGGCATTTCGGCGATCTCCACCATAATGATCGAATAGAGAACGAATTCTAGGACTAGTAGGTAATGCAGTGGTCGGATCTGTGTAGGGTCAGGAGGGTGCTTCTGTCCTCAGGGTAGGATCGATACAGACTGGCGCGCGCTTGCTCGGAAGCCCGCGGCTTTACAGTGAGGGTTGCTCTAGGCACCGCCCATCATCTCCGACAACCTCAACCACGATCTCTTCGGAGCGGAAGCTTGTTCGATTCCAAACCTTAACTCGGTCCCTTTTAGTGGGATGAAGAGCCCGAATGCAGCGCGCAGCGTCTACAGGTGCTGCTTAGATTGCATTTCAGATGGGGTGAATGCAGCGGTTACCGATCCGTCAGGTAAGGTGCACATTCCTCTAAAAGGTACAACTCAGTCATTTTCATCCAGTGAATAATGTGCGACTTTCGCTTCAGAAAATATTGTTGTTAGCTAAAAATGGGATTTTGCTACAGTTAAACCTCTTCGGTGTCTCCAGACGCCAAATCACCTCCCTCGGACGGAGAAGTCGTAAAATTCACAAAAAAAAAACCTTTTCGCTGGATGGTCTTTGCTCACAGTCGTGTTGCATCTTGTTTGCGTTAACTTATTGACACTTGCAACCTCTAATAACCATAAGCTTTCACAAATTATACTCTGTAGATCCTTTGAAGAAAAAAAGTAGAAGAAAATTTTAGCAAACTTCATTCAACAGCAGCGTCCTATCTCTTGTATAGATCTTTGAAAATGTCATGAAATGCTGGTGCACTAACTATAACTAGCTAAGTCTTTTCATCTTTTTCTTCTTTAGCTTCTCGACGATTAGCCATCATGGTACTTTACTCGTTAATTAAGCAGAACTGAATATGCGGAACCTGACAATTCTCTATTCTCTTCCCCTCAGATAGCATCCTCTTTATTCCTTATCTCAAATACCGCAAGCAATTGCGCCATTTTGTATTTCCAAGTTAGGGATATTCAATTAATGGGTTTTTAAAAGATACGAACAGGAAATGCTTAGAATTCGGTACATGTAGAGTCAAGAGTTATTCTGTAGCCATCCTCACAGCCCATCAAAGTTTACAGAATTTAGAAAGTTCAGACATGCTTATGTGAGATTCGAGAACGTGTTTGACCTAAACTTTGAGAGCTAAATTGAGAATAATGTACACACAGTTCCATTGAATACTAATTATTCAAAATCTGCCTGATCGCCAAGTACTTTGTAAAACTGTGT